AGCAGGGAGCCCGACGCGGGACTCGATCCTGGGACTCCAGGATCATGACCTGAGCCGAAGGCAGTTGCTTAACCAACTGAGCCACCCAGGCGCCCTTGATTTGTCTTTTGAAGTGAAAAGCCGGTGGACTCAGAATTTCTAGGATCGAGTCGATTCTTCACACCTTCTCTTCTGTTGGTTCCTTCTAATATCCCAAGCCCAAAAGAGCCATAGAAACTCCTAGGTTGAGCAGTATACTTCTTCACGAAATCTCATTCCGGTATCCACTCTTTCCAGTACCCTGGCTTCCTGAGGACTTGAAAGAGCTGACCTCCTGAAGTTCTGTACTTCAGAGTTTCCCACCTGTGCTCTGAAGGTAAGGTTCTTGTTCTAAGGCTGATCCTGGGGAATGCCCCACAAAGGGAATTCCTGGGAAATCTGGAGCTGCTTGTGATTCTCAGGTCCTGTCTTTCATTCCCCATCAGGCTAAGGTTGCAATTCTGGAGACACAAAGGAAAAGTTTCTAAATTCATCCTGGTTAATCATAGGAAGATGTCCTTCATCAATTGGGGTTAAAACTGGCTCTTCCTTAATGAAGTCAGGGTCAAAATTACTGACATCTTCTCGGGATTTCTGTCAAAAGGAAACAAGGGTCAGATTTTAGGCACATGAGGCTTTCCCCTCTTCCGGTGAGGTCAGAAGGGCGCTGCAGCCCTGGGAGCAGCATTATTTACAGTTAGGACCATTAGGACGAAGCAGCGGGTTGTAGTAATTCTGCTGCACTGTGTATCGTTACGGGCATGTGGGAACCCCCCCACCCCACTTCACTAACCCCACGGAAATCTTGCTGAGCAGGCCCGCCTTAGGCCGGGAGGTGAAGCAATTAATTTGGTCACCTGATCCAGCCGTCTCACTCACCCTTTACTTGGCATTTCACCAAAGTGCCACTTCTCGACAGGCTCTACTGAGGGACATATATGCTTGGTTGTCTACAGAGTGTAAGTTCACACTTGCCTCACCTATTGTTTATACACAGGACTCTAGGCGTGAAGAGCTTTTCTTGAAAGACGTGAAAGCGCTGAGTTTATTCCTAAACAAGTGTCCCTCACTTTACTCACCAGTTGGCCTCCTGCTGCCTCATTGGCAAAGCCTTCCCTCCTCCCCGAGGGGTTGGCAGCAGGGGGCCTGGTAAAGGAAGTGGCTTGACTGCCTAGTGGCAGTCATTATGTGTTGGTGCCTAGTGCCCAACCTTGGGGGCTGTTACAGATTAAGCCAGCTGTGTGTATGGAAATGTTGATCTTTTACATCTTTATAAACTAATGCTTGGAAAGCTCATTTCTGCCATTGTTAGACCTCTCATTTCTCTTACCTAAGTTGAAGATGCGTTTCTGCTTTCTCCATCATGGATCTCTTGACTCACAGATAAGAAAGAGCTTGGCTCTCAGATCAAGAGCTAGACCACCCTCAAGAATGCCCGCTCAGCTGCCTTGCTTGGGAAGGTACCCCTGGCGCTCCCAGTATTTCTCTAGTCAAAAGAGATTTGGCCTGAGCTCTGGGCTGCAGTGGCTGGTACAGACCCAGGCTCTCCAAGCCAAGGAGCCAGGTTCAGTGAGGTGGGTAGCCTTTCATGCCCTTTCTACTTCCTTGGGGGCTTGGGAAAGGCACCCGGGGGAGCATGAGGAAACTAGAGGAATGATGAATTTCTCAGCCCAACTCTTTTGGGGAAACCTAGAAAATTTCAGGTCTGTTAGGCTCCAGAAAGTTTAGGTTAAGGGAGGATGGATTCCAGAGCAAGCAAGAGGTGAAAGATTGGAGAGAAGTAAACTGGAAAGGGGGAGAGGTTTCCTCAAGGGCCAGCCTCCTCCTGGGTGACGCTACCCTGCAGAGCTGAGGCTGAACTTCCAGTTTGGTTATTCCATAGGGGACAACAGATTTTGGTAGAACACGGAGGTATTTTAAAAAAGAGGAAAGTCTACTCTGTGGTCTTAGACACTTACGATTCTGGGTCTGAAAGGTGGTTCTACTTGGCGATGGTTCAGCTGGGCCCAGTCGATTTCCTTAAAGAAAGGATGTCTCAAGATGGCATGCTCCCCACCCTGAGTCAGGCTGCCCAGGCGCATGGTGGGGTTCTTGGTCATGAACTAAGAGGGGAAGAAAGAGAGTTGATCATTCAATAATAGACAACAAGTAGGTCACAAGATGGTAGGCATCCGCTCTGGCAGAGAAGCCTGTGTGAGGCTTTCTGGCTGATCTTGCTTAACTAGCTGAATTTTCCATTATGGGCAGCACAGCCAACATGAATCATCCCTTAAAGGCGCAACTGCTTGTGTGTATTTATGGCCTTCGCCACTTCCATTTCAGACGTGGCCACTAAAATAAAGCTGAAGGGTCCAGTTTTTTTCACTGTAAATACCATGTATTTTTCTTTCCCTTTTAAAGAAAAACTCTTTATAGAACAGTGTGCCTTTCTCGAACACTGCAGTTGTCGACAGCCCACAGCTTATGAATAGGACTACTTTTAAGAACAGCTGTGCCATTTTCTGAGGACCTGACCAGCCAGCCAGGATTCCCGCTCTCTGACAGGACCACAGAGAGAAGAGTGAGGGTCATTATTTTGAAGATCTGTGGGAAGACGCTGTGAGAGTAAAAAACCCAAAGTTGGCCACTTTTCTTCATGCAACAAAGATGCTCCTCTTCTCCTACCCTTCCATTTTGAAATGTTTAATGATTGAGAATCTTGCTACATAGACCATTTAAGCAATGTGTATATATAAATCCTCTGTATTTCTACCAATTGGGAAACTTCCCTCGGGCTGAGCTCCTATCAAGATATTTGGAACTAAATCTACTCTGACAAAAAGGCCCGTAAGGTGTTCTAATCGCGTCCAAATCAAGGACTCAAACAGGATAATTTACTTTTCAGGGCCAGAATGTAATTTTTCAGTTTTAAAGACACTTAAGCTAATTCAAAATAAAAATTGCCTTGGATTAAAAAGTTTTGTTGTAAAGTTTAAATCACGTTATCTTTAAGACTGTCCCCCCCAAACACCCCTTTCCAAGTTTGATCTGTGAGCACAAGAGAAGAGTAATGCTGTGTTCCTAGAACTTGCTCTGCAGTGGAATTTCCAGAGTAAATAAAAAGTCCCTGCTGTTGGAGGGGTGCAGACCTGCCAGGGGGAGTGTTTGGAGGCGGCATCCCGGCCGTGCCAGGTGTCCAAAGCTGCGTAAGCCTCCGGTGGTGCTTCAGATGAAAACGACCCTGTGGCAGAAGAAGGCTGCAAAACTGCCTAAGCAAAGCTGACAGGAGTGACCTCAGAAAATGCTAAAAAGCCCTCCAAGGGAGCTAATAAAAAAATGCAGACACCGATGGCGTTTTTCCTCCCTTCTATGGACAAGGAATGCGAGGCCCTAGGTGGGGCTGGAGTGAAGGTGGGCCCCGAAAGTCTGGGGAGCTTTCAGAGCTGCACAGGTCTGATCAGCACAGCGCGGATTGAGGAAGTACACGTCTCACAGCTCAGTTCTGTGAGAGCGAGGCGTTCATGCTGCTTGGGTTCTCCTGGATCAGCCTGTGCACTCAGAAAGGAAGGGGAAAATACGTACACAAGAAAAATGAGTAGGTTCTCTCCTTAGGAACATCAAGTGGATGCAATCCTGAATGGAATAGGCATCTGTTCTACGAGCTAATTAACAAACAATGCTGCAAAAAAACCTCAGAATACAAGGATGGTAGAACAGATCCCAATGGCTTGTGGGAAATTTGCAGGCCTGCCAATGAGGAGAGCAGAGGACATCTTGTGAGTGTGTGGGTACAACTTGTTCTTCTGGGCAAGAGGAACAGTGCCTGGCTCTCACCGCCAGAGTGGCAGAAGCCCAGCATCCAAGAGACTTTGTCCATTCTTCCTCGCCTCTGGCACTGAAGCCAAACTTCCAAGGCGCACTGGGGAAAGGCACTGTGCATGAGGGAAGGAAACCAAATCACGGCTGTTCTTCCTCTAAACACTGCATCCCTGGAAAAGGAGACTGTCAGAGTAACCCTTTCACTAGCTTGATACCTTCTCTTAGGTTCTGGTAAGTCCTGAAAAACCAGACAATTTTGACTTTTAGTATCTTGCTCTGAGCCCTTTAGACACAGCCATTCTCCAAGTTGAAAAGGGGACCAATTTACCAAGGTTTACGTGGTGTCTACTGTATGCAAGGCAGTGTACTAGCTGTTGTGGGGATGGAGATGACCAAGAAAGTGTGTCTCCACGAAGGAGCTGATGAAGTGAAGGGGGAAGAGGCCAGCAAGCTCTGTGGGCAACCACAGCTGGGTGAAATGAAAAGAGCAGAACGCGTGGCAGCTTTGAAGAGGGGCTGGTCCTGAGGAGGCAAGCAATGGCTCCATGAAGGAGGTGGCACTTGACAAGAGAGGAGGTGGACGAAGGGAATGAACACAGGCCTGAAGGAAGAAGGCAGTCAAGCCCAGAAGCCAGCGCAGGTGCACACAAGTACCAGGGACAGTGGCGTACCCAGTGGAACAGAGAGTGTGGTACGACGGGCACGTGGGGATGGCTGGGGAGCCACCGAAGTCTGACAGAGAGGTGAGTGATGACTCCAGCCATAGTGTACTGACTACATCCTGAACAAGGAGGCACGAGATTGGTGGTGGGTGATCAGTTAAGAGATGGAGAAAGTAGCTGAGGAGACCGGACAAGTTCAGAAAGTAGAAGGGTTTCTGGTTAGTGGGAAGGCGAAGTTGGGAGCAAGTCCTAGAGGGCTTGTGGAAGAAGAGTGAACACGATCCCCAGTGGCTGGCCTTGCAGTGAGTGCGGGGTCACGAGGTCTGTTCTGGCTGCCTGCTGGAGGGGTGGTATTGGATAACAGAAATCAGTAACAAAAGGAGGACAACAGATTATTGGTAGTATTAATCACAGAAGCAGTAACATGAGTAATAGCAGTATTTTTGGGGAATGAAACAAAAATATCCAGCATTTCTCAAGACCTGACAGTGTGCAGATCTGGGAGGCTGAGCTCAGCTTTGTATATGAAGTATGAAGACATCCCCATGGAGATGACTAGTCCTGTTAATCTAGGGTGCAGGCGAGGATTAGAGATCTGACCGTCTGAGATATCAACATTTGGTGAGAGGGCAAGAGATGAAGCTGTTAGGGCAGGCAAGACTGTGGAAAAGGAATAAGAGTATAGAAGTAAGACCAGCCCAAGGCCTCAGACATCTTATTTGGCTCACACAGCATGTTTTAAAATAATTTTAATTACTTAAATATTTAAACACTAGGAACTGTCATTTAAAAGTCAAGTTTTCCACTTTCTCTTGGAAAATAGGATATTCTAGAACACTAAACCTGCACTTCTTGACATAAAGGGCCTAGAGTCAGCAGTGACTGCCTTTTTAGATGGAGCATGATCCCTGGCCAGCCACATACCCCACCACTCTGCATTGCCTCACACCTAGTGGCTTCACTCACTCACTTTGCATGGCTCTGAGCCCTGGCACAGGGACAGAAAAAAGCCAGGGGAGGGCTTCTGGTTCAAGATGGCAACACAGGAAGGCCCCAAACTCACCTCATCCATGGACATATCAAATCACCTATTTTATAAAGCAGTTGCCCCTGGAGAGGAACTGAGGGCTGACTGAACGGCTTCTGCACAACAAAAGCTAGATGGAGACATGATAACATGATCATAAAGGGAACACTCAATGCTGCAAACTGCAGTGGGGAGGAATAGTATTGAGGGACTTTGAGTAGATTCAATTATCCTGGAGCACAGAAAAAAGCATTTAAGAGTACAACTAGAATATAAAGCATTCAGCCCTAGAACCTTGACAAATGGCAGAAGACATGCTGGAAATCTCTCCAGGTTGGGTTGGAGGGGCTGGCGAGTGCTATGATTACAGTCCCCCTCCACTGCGGTAGCAGCATGGAGAGAAGCAAGGTCCAGTGCCCTAGTGAGCCTGACACCTCAGTGAGCCCCGGGCCCCTAGTCCACACCAGCCCCATCTATCACACTAAAGTGGCCCCAGCATGGCACATCCCAGGGCACTTCTGGGCAGCACTCACTACAGTTCCAGCCTTCCTGCCAAGGTGACACAGACCCACAGCACTGGAAATACTCCAGGTCACACCACTTTGGCTCCAGATGACTTGCTAGGATGCCCCCCGTGCAGAGTGCTCTGGGACCTTCTAATTCAGCTCCAGCCAGGCCAACCAGGGCCTCCCTGTGTAGAGCACCCTGGGCAGCAACAGCCTTGGCTACAGGTGCCCCTTGTGCCGAACACTCTGGGACGCCCTGGCTTGCACCAGCTTCAGCTATCCTGCTGGAGTGCCCTTTGCTTAAGGAGACCTGGGAGGGCCCCAGCCCATGCCAGCTTCAGCTGTCCTGCCAGGGCACCCTCTGCATAAAGAGCCGCAGGACTATCCCAGCCCACACCCACTTCAACTCCTGCCATCCCATCAGGGCAGCCTCAACATGGAGTCCTGCAGGACTCCCAGCCCACGCTAGCCTCAGCTCCAGTGAGCCAACCAAAGTCACCAGGCACACATGGTCTACACAGGGGACAACCCTACACAAGACCATTCCTTCAAGTTTAGGAAAAGTAGCTATTCTGTGTAATTCATAAAAATTAACACAAAGTCAAGCAAAATGAAACAGAGGAATATGTTCCAAATGAAAAAACCAAGACAAAAACCTCAAAAAAAAAACTAAATGAAATGGAGATAAGCAATATGCTGATAAAGAGTTTAAAGTAATATAAAGATTTTCACTGGACTGAAGAATGAACTAAGAACTTCAACAAAGAAATAGAAAATATAAAAAATATCAGCTGAAATATATAATAAGTGAAATGAAAAGTACACTAGAGGGAATCAACAGTCCATTAGCAGATGCAGAAGAATGGATCAGTGATCTAGAACAAGATAAAGGAAAGCCCCCAAGCTGAACAGCAAAAAGAAAAAAGAATTTTTAAAAATGACAAATTAAGGGATCTCTTAGACAGCATCAAGCAAACATTCACATTATAGGGGTCCCAGGAGAAGAGAAGAGAAAGAGAGAAAGGGGCAGAAACTTATTTGAAGAAGTAACAGCTGAAAACTTCCCTAACCTGGGGAAAAACACAGACATCCAGGTTCAGGAAGCACAGAGAGCTGCAAATGAGATGAACCCAAGGAGGTTCACATCATGACACATAATAATTAAAATGTCAAAGCTTTAAAGATAAAGAGAATTTTAAAAGCAGCAAGAGAGAAGCAGCTAATTACTTACAAGGGAAACCCCATGAGGCTATCAGCTGGTTTTTTAGCAGAAACATTGCATATATCGTGCTACTCCCTTCCGGCCTGCAAAATGCTGAAAGGTAATAACCTAAAACCAAGAACACTCTAAACAGCAAGATTACCATTCAGAATTGAAGGAGAGATAAGGAAGTTCCCAAACAAAAGTTAAAGGAGTTCAACATTAAACTGGCCTTACAAGAAATGTTAAAGGGACTTTTTTAAGTGCAAAAGAAAAGGCCATAATTAGAAGAAAATTATATATAAAAAAATGTAAAACATGACAACATATACATAAAACATGGAGTGGGGAGTGAAAACAAAATTTTTTTAGAATACGTTCGAACTGGGGCACCTGGGTGGCTCAGACGGTTAAGCGTCTGCCTTCGGCTCAGGTCATGATCCCAGGGTCCTGGGATTGAGCACCACATTGGACTCCCTGCTTAGTGGGGAGTCTCCCTCTACCTCTCCCCACTTGTGCTCTGTCTCTTGCTTTCTCTCTTTCAAATAAATAATCTTAAAAAAAAAAAAAAAGTTATGTTCGAACTTAAGTGACCCTCAACTGAATACGGACTGCTATGTATTTAGGATATTTTATGAGCCTCATGGTAACCACAAACTCAAAACCTATAATAGACACACAAAAAATAAAAAGAAAGCCAGGCATAACACTAAAGAAATCCATCAATCACAAGGCAAGAGAGTAAGAGAAGGAGGAATGAACAGAGTAAAACTACAAAGACAACCGAAAATAATTAACAAAATGGCAAAAAGTACATACCTATCAATAATCACTTTAAATGTAAATGGTGTAAATGCTTTACTCAAAAGAAATGTCTTGTTTTGTTATCCATTCTGCCAACCTATCTATGTGCTGCCTTCAAGAGACTTACTTCAGAACTAAAGACACATACAGACTGAAAGTGCAAGGATGGAAAAAGAGTTCCATGCGAAAGGAAGTGAAAAACAAAGAGCAATACTTTTATCAGCCAAAATGGACTTTAAAACAAACACCGCAACACAAGACAAAGAAGGGCAATACATAATGACAGAGGGATCAATTCAAAAAGAGGATCTAACAATTGTAAACACCTATGCACCCAACACTGGAGCACCTAATTACATCAAGCAAATATTAACAGATATAAAGGGACAAATGAACAGTAACACAATAATAGTAGGGGACTTTAACACCCCACTTACTTCAATGGATAGATCATCCAGGCAGAAAATCAATAACAAAACAATGTCTTCGAATGACACATTAGACCAGATGGACTTAACATATATATAAAACATTCCATCACAAAACAACAGAATATACTCTTTTCAGACAACAGAATACATTCTTTTTAAGTGCACATAGAACATTCTCTAGGATAGATCACATTAGGCCACAAAACAAGTCTCAATAAATTTAAGAAGATTAAAATCACATCCTGCATCTTTTCTAACCACAATAGTATGAAACTAGAAATCAATTATAAGAAAAAAAAAGGGGAAAAAACACAAACATGTCAAGGCTAAACAACGTGCTACTAAGCAACCTAGGAGTTAAAGAAGAAATAAAAAAATACATGAAGATAAATAAAAACACAGTGGTCCAAAATCTTTGGGCCAAGCAAAAGCAGTTCCAAGAGGGAAATTTATAGAAATACAGGCCTACTTTAAGAAACAAGAAAAATCTCAAACTATCTAACCTTATACCTACAGGAACTAGAAAAGGAAGAACAAAGCCCAAAGTTAGTAGAAGGAAAGAAATAATAAGATCAGAGCAGAAATAAATAAAACACAGACTACAAAAACAATAAAAAAGATCAAGGAAACTAAGAGCTGGCTTTTTCAAAAGATAAACAAGATTGACCAACCTTTAGCTAGACTCCTCAAGAAAAAAAGAGGACCCCCCCAAAAAATCAGAAATGAGACAGCAGTAACAACTGACACCACATAAATAGAAAGAATTATAAGAGGCTACTACAAAAATTCTATGCCAACAAATTGGACAACTTAGAAGAAATGGATAAATTCCTAGAAACATATAATGTTCCCAAACTGAATCAGGAATAGAAAATCTGAACAGACCAATTACTAATGAAACTGAATTGGTAATCAAAAAACTCCCAACAAACAAAAGTCCAGGACCAGGTGGTTTCACACATGAATTCTACCAAATATTTAAAGAAAATTTAATATCTATTCTTCTCAAACTATTCCATATAATAGAAGGAAAGCTTCCAAATACATTCTACAAGGCCAGCATTACCCAGACACCATAAGCAGACAAGACAGTACAGAAAAAGAGTACAGGCCAATATCCCTGATGAACATAGATGCAAAAGTCCTCAACAAAATATTAGCAAACCGCATTCAACAATCCACTATAAAGATCATTCACCACGATTGAGTGGGATTTATTCTGGAGATGTATAGGTAGGGCAATATTTACAAATCAATCAATGTGATACATCACATTAACAAAATGAAAAATAAAAATCATACCATCTCAATAGATGGAGAGAAAGCATCTGATTCAACATCCATTCATGATAAAAACTCTCAACAAAGTGGGGTTAGAGGGAACATATCTTAACAAAATAAAGGCCACATATGAGAAACCCACAGCTAACATAAGTCAGGGGGGAAAAACAGAGCTTTCCTCTAAGATCACAAACAAGACAAAGATGTCCACTCTCACCACTTTCATTCAGCATAGTACTGAAAACCCCAGCAGCAGCAATTGTCAAGAAAAAGAAATAAAAGGCATCCGAATTGGCAAGGAAGAAGTTCAACTGTTACTATTTGCAGATGGCATGTTACTATATGTAGAAAATCCCAAAGATTCCACCAAAAAAAAAAAAAACCTATGAAAAATAATAAATTCAGTAAAGTCGTAGGATACAAAATTAACACACAGAAATCTGTTGGCATTTCTATACACTGATAACAAAGTAGCAGAAAGAGAAATTAAGAAAACAATTCCATTTAGTATTGCATCAAAAAGAATAAAATCACTAGGAATAAACTTTACCAAGGAGGTTAAAGACCTATACTCTGAAAAGTATAAAATATTAATGAAAAAAACTGAAGACCTCACAAACAAATGGAAAGATATTCCATGCTTATGCACTGGAAGGACTAATATTGTTAAAATGTCCATACTACCAAAAGCAGTCTACAGATTCAATGAAATCCCTCCCAAAATACTAAGAGCATTTTTTTCACAGAACTAAAACAATCCTACAATTTGTATCGAACCACAAAAAGACCCTGGATAGTCAAAGTAATCTTAAGAAGAACAAAGCTGAAAGAATCACAATCCCAAATTTCAAGATATGCTGCAAATCTATCAAACATTACGGTACTAGCACAAAAACAGACACATACTTCAATAGCACAGAACAGAGAGCTCAGAAATAAACTCATGCTACAGTCTCTTTAATGGCACTGGGAATGCTAGATAGCTACATGCAGAAGAATGAGACTGGACCACTTTCTTACACCATATACAAAAATAAACTCAAAAATGGGTTAAAGACATAAATGTCAGACCTGAAACCATAAAATTCCTAGAAGAGAACATAGGCAGTCATCTCTTTGATAGTGGTCTTCGCAACATTTTTCTAGGTATGTCTCCTCAGGCAAGGGAAACAAAAGCAAAAATAAATTATTGAGACTACATAAAAATAAAAAGCTTTTGCACAGTGAAGAAAACCATCAGCAAAATGAAAAGGCAACCTACTGAATGAGAGAGGATATTTGCAAATGATATATCCAATAAGAGGTTAATATCTCAACTATAGAAAGAACTTATACAACCCAACACCAGAAAACAAATAATCCAGTTAAAAATGAACTGAGAACTTGAATAGACATTTCTCCAGAGACTTACAGATGGCCAACAGACACATGAAAAGATGATCAACATCAGTAATCATCAGGGAAATGCAAATCAAAAGCACAATGAGAATCACCTTTCACCTAGTCAGAATGGCTAGAATCAAAAACACAAGAAATAACAAGTATTGGTGAAGATGTGGAGAAAAAGGAACGCTCATGCACTGTTGGTGGGAATGTAAATCAGTGTAGCCACTGTGGAGAACAGTAAGGAGGTTCCTCAAAACATTACAAATAGAAACACCATATGACCCAGTAATTCTACTCTAGGTATTTACCCAAAGAAAACAAAAAACACTAGTTCATAAAGACAGATGCCACCTCTATGTTTATAGTAGCAATATTTACAATAGCAAAGATATGGAAGCAACCAAGTGGCCACTGAGATGAATAGATAAGGAAGGAGTGGTTTATATGTACAATGAAATATTC